TTTATTACGGATGCACGCACTTTATTTCACGTCTTCTGAACTGTTGACAACCAACACCCGCTTACCCCCCATTGAAAGGCTTGGAGGGGCCAGGACAATTTTCAATATAACTCCGATTGGATTCGTCTGAAAGAAGAAAGTCACATATACCTAGGATGCTTTGAGGGTGAGTAAAACACAGGCTAATTTTCATTTTTGGGTGAACTAACCCTTTGCAATGTCAGTCAAATGAATTGTTTTTACCTTGAGAAACGTGCTCACGGCGAGTCTGGAGTAAATAAATAGAATGGCACTCTGGCCTTTCTCCAGCCGGCCGACCCAACACTTAATCTCCTGACACTCCGCATTCCCACAATCCTGTGTGGATACACACAAACCATTGTACTTGCACGCATACTGGTGTAAAGGACAGTTCAATGACTCATACTGACTGCACCTACTGATGTGTAGAAGGGTAAAACGGTTCCCATTAAAATGGTTTGCTGGTTTGATAACCATAATAATAGTTCATATATTTTATATATACACACTACTGTTCAAAATTTGTGTTTGTGTTTCTCTCCTGTATTTCTGATTAAATAAATGTAGCCTTGGTGAGCATTAGAAATGTCTTTCAAAAATACCAAACAAAAATTCACTGAACAACTTTTGAACAGTGAAGTGTATATATTTCAAATTCAATATAAAACTGTTCCAGGTACTTCACAGACAATGGTGGTTGTCAAATGGCAACTGTTAAAGCTGTGAACATACCAGAATCTCCAGGTTCTCTTCCCCTTGTTTGTCCTCTAGGTCTCTGCGGTGGACGCTGTGTCTGTTCCTCCCCTCAGCTCTGTCTCCGCTGGCAGAGGTCTCATTTTTGTCAATAAATCTGGGATTCTAGGTGAAAGCAAAAGCATAGGGTTATCCCTGGAATATTAGATGAGTTCCTAATTTCAACCAATTTGTGAACAAACAAAGGTTTTAACCATCCATGCAACTAATTTGTCTGTCCACACTGTAAAAAAAATCCCATTTGTTGGATGTTACAAAATGTCACAGCCAGTCAGAACATAGAAGATATTTAACATACAACTTGTGTGGAGTGGGGTTTTGGGTCCTGTTTACACCTGTTATTAACAACGTATGTATACTTGATTGTGGGATACATACAGTGACATTAAGCGGGTTGAGCTCCCTGTTTGAGCTGCAATTCATGTTTCCGTCCACTTCAAACTTGGTGATGTAGAGCAGAGAGCCATTGTTGAATCTGTATGGCCACTGCACATCTAAAATGGCCTTACTGAAGGTACTGGGTCCTGTGTTCCTTAGCTAGTAAGATAAGTGATTACAGCAGAAAGAGAAAAAAAATCTAATTATGCACTGCTGAAGTTTAATAAATGTATAATGTCTTTGACCAATGATCTTTACTGCATTTTTTACCTCATAGATGTGCTGTACAAGAGGTCCAATATCATCCTCCAGAACAGGATTCTCTTTTGGCTGCCAGTTAGCGATGGGTAAAAACACCTGCTCTGGCGCAGACACCCTACACAGGATAGAGCAGATGAATACACAGTGAAGATCATGTCTAGTAACAGCCAATTATAATGCTCAAGTTCTTTTTTTTCATCATTCAGGCTTTTATTGACATACTTAATCCATACTGGATCGTTTTCACTTTCTTAATTCACATTCTTGGTCATATTGTGCAAGTCATTCTAAAAAAAGTTTGCCCTCTTAAGCTAAATGTCATAACTTGTTGCAACTTAAAAGTAAAATGTGTTCTAAATAGCATACATGCTGATTTTAAATCTGTTTACATAATACATGTCACACAATTTTAACAGAAATATGATTTAAACGATCATACCCTCTTAATTTCACTTTGGCCAGCACAGCAAGCTTTGTGACAACAGAGACCAAATTGCTGGTATTGTTGAACTGATTTGAGCTGGAAGCAGAAGGGAATTATTGATTTCCAATAGGTGGTGCTGTTGTTTTAAAAACTGATACATTTCATTAAATTACAGACAACGTGATAAAATATTACCATGGACCACTCTTTATGTTTCAGAAATGCACTACAAATCATTGTGGTAAAGACGGGCGAAGACATGAGGGTGTATGGAAAGAGTGAGAGACAAAAAGCAAAGCAGGATGTTCTCACAGAGACACAAAAAATAGCAGTTCCCTGTAATTAACAACACTCTAAAAAAACCACTGGCAGTCAGCAGGAAACTGTAGCATTAGAAGCAAATGCTGTCTGAAGTTTTACTGATTTAAATAAAAAGACAGGAAGTGAAAATATACGTTTAGGGCGTCTTTGCTTTACATTTGTTCTAATGGCCCTCCTTGGGTTACTGATGGCTCACCAAACGCCATTTAATTAACAATGCACAAGCATTATTGTAATAGCAAGCATTAATTCAAATACCTCTGTATCTGCAAGTCAAACTTGACTTCTGTATCCTGTTCAGAGAGCTGATGCACACTGAAGCGCAATCCTGCTATTATCTACACAAACAACGCCATTTAACAGAAAAATATGAAAGGAAATAGCTCATTTATGTTACAATAAGCAACATTAAAAAATATTAACTTCTGGTACAAATAAATATGCAGACACTTTAGTGAGGAAAGTCTGTTGGTCACCTTAGTTCCTCCTTTCATTGGGTTCCCAAGATCACAAACCACCACTCTGGTCTGATTCTCTTTCTTGAAGGCACAGGACAGTCTAGACAACGTCTGAGATACAGAAATAACATATGGACCTTCAAACAATTCTAAATGATGTCACAGAACAGCATAGAAATTTTATTGCTAAAGAAAAGTACTTTTGACTTGTCCCAAAATTTGTAAAAACACTAAAATACACTAAATGGTCTTAATGAGGCAATGCAGTTATGCGTTATTTTAAGGTGTCTATGATACAGTGTAATTATATATTTAAGTTCCGAGTAATGTTAATTAACTACATGTACTTAACTGTATGGTTAGGGTTTGGATTAGCATTGCATGTTACTTGCATGTAATTATGCATAATTTGTTGTTATTATAATAGTAAGTATATGTAGCTTGTAACAAGGTCACCGTAAAATAAAGAGTTACCGGCAAAGCTTTTGAAAGCAATGATCAGCTTGTATTTTTTTTAAAAGTGCTTATAAATCTTCCTTTAGGTGATCTGACTACTGTCCAAAGAAACTTTTGCTTGTGTTTGCAAATAGAGCAACAAGTTACCAGTAAGATTACCAGTTTAATTGTTATTAAACCTGGAACATCTGTTAAATCAGCTCTTTTAATACAGCATTAATTGTCTCATTACAGGAGGTCACAGTAGGGAGGACAGTGCACTTTATGAGGTGTAGATGGGTCACTGCTTACCTCACTGTTACGCACAACCCCAATGAAATCTGCCTGAGATGGTAGGGTGACGGTAAGGTCGGCCTCATATGCCCCCTCTCCTCCATTCTCTGCTGTGACCTCTAGGGTCAGGGGGTTATCGTCACCTATGTAGATCTCTTTCTGGTCACTGGAGCACAAAACAACATCAAAAGCACCAAGTTAATCTCCAGCTCCACACCACCAGACAAGGCAATGGAATTTAAGGCTGAGATGAACCAATGACTCACCTCACAACAGACAGTTTTAAGTCTGGCTTGCAAATATTGTCTTCACCACAATCCAGGAGAATGTGAGCCTGGAAAGTCACAAGGTATTATAAGAAAATAAAGTGAGTTTTTATTTTTATCCAATGCTGTTTAATGTTAATTGTTCGTGTAAATCAGCATTAAGTCTTTGGTTAGTAGAAGATTTGATCTTTTGAGCAGCTTCTGCACAATGCAATGTCTCGTTCAGGGTTCCCACACTTTAAGACCAATGAATTCTTACGGTTTTCCAGTAGTTTGTGATAACTAGAAAAAACTATAATGAATTATTTAGACCAATTTGCAAAATCGGCTCCACCAATTCCTTGAAAGTTTTCTCACAATTAAAAATATTTCAGAACACTGCATAAAAAATACTTATTAGGATTTTAATTATTTCCATGGCTTTTCTAAATGTAGAAAACATTTTAAAATTCCCTGCTACTTTTAGTTTGTCCATATCCATGGGAAAAGATTTTAACTCTATCATGTCAGCCATGTACGCAGTATAAACCACGTTCATCTGTTCCATCGTCATCCTTTCCTACAGACGCAGAGATCTTTCCCGAATACACGAAAGATGCAACTCAGCCCATGACAGCCCCACCCAATGAGGAAACAGAGTGCTCATTCACTACCGCTCAAAAGTCTGAGGTCAGGAAGATTTTTTTTTTTTTAAATAAATGTATACTTATCTATTAAATTGATGTATTAAATTGATAAAAAATATCAATAAAGACTAGATTTTATGATTTGTTATGATACAGAAGATTTCTATTTTAAATATTAGTTGTTCCTTTTTTGGTTTTTGGTTTTCACAAAAATATTAAGCAGTTTTTAACACTGATAATGTTTCTTAAACATCAAATCAGCATATTAGAATGATTTCTGAAGGATCATGTGACACTGAAGACTGGAGTAATAATGCTGAGAATTCAGCTTTACCATCACAGGAATAAATTACATTTCAAAATATATTAAAATAGAAAACAGTTATTTTGAATTGTAATAATATTATACAATATACTGTTATTTCCTGTATTTTTAATCACACAAATGCAGCATAGGCGAGCATAAGAGAATTCTTTCAAAATGAAAAAAAAATTATCTTAATGACCCCAAACTTTTGAAAAGCAGTGTATATGTAGTGCCCCTGTAACCAGAGATCTAGTGTGGGAAACAGCTGTACCTGCTTGGTGACATTTGTAGGTGTAGACTGGTCAAGGATGGGCAACAGGCCGGTCTTATCTGCTGCTGCTTTGTAATTCAAGCTGTACTCCATAAAAACAGAAATGGGTGTGATCTTATCCCTAAATTCTGAGTCATCCTGTTAAGAGAGAGAGAGAGGTAGAGGTAGAGAGCCAAAAGTGGATGGGGAGAGAAATGGGGCCTCTAGTTCAATGAGCTCAAGGCTGGGGAATTTCAGTCCAGCTTATAAGCTCTACAACATGCTCTTTTATGTCCAGGAAAGAGCTTTGGCTTTCCAGGTCAAATCCTTCTTTAGCTCTGTAATGCATTGTTCCTTTTCGAAAACAAAATAACGACATATTCCCGTGCCAAACATCTGGGCTGTCTGCCACTACACCTTTAAGCACAGAGCAAACACATATTTGATGACATAAAGGCATGAGCACTTCTTCAGTTGGCCAAGTAAAACAAAACTACACTAAACTTTTCACAGCCCAGTACTGGCACGATCAGCAGAAGTGAATGAGTCACATAGGGATTCTGTGTGTTCCTGTATCTCAACTGATAGAGCATTACATCAGGAACACCTAGGTCACAGGTTTGATTTCCTATAAAATATATACCTTGCAAGCACTGCAAAATGCTTTAGATAAAAACATCTGTCAAATAAATAAATGTGAATGGATTTGCTCACTATTAAATAAGCCTGAAGCTCCTCGCAGGCCGGTCCTTGGCTGTTGGAGACGGTCATGTTCTTTGAATAATGAGACATCTTGTTATGGAGGAACAGCACCCGTTTGATGGCTCCCTTGTGTTTGAGACGGTCCAGGGTCAGATACACTTGGAAATCTGTGAATGAAAGGCCACATTTTCATTTCAATTATAAAGGAGAGAAACACAAATAATAATACAAAGCACTAAATTCAGAAGGAATGAGGGAGCTATTTACATTCTTCACATAACACAAGTTTCTCCTTTAAATGAAAGAGGCAATTTAAAGGAAACAAGCAAAAGAAATATAATCTTCAAATGAAACTGTTTAGAACACAAGCAGTCAACCCTGAAACCTTTAAACAGTTATACCCCTGAATTTTTGTAAGCATTTAGCTGCTTTAAAGGGGTCATATGATGCGATTTCAATTTTTCCTTTCTCTTTGGAGTGTTTCAAGCTCTTGGTGCATAAAGAAGATCTGTAAAGTTGCAAAGACTAAAGTCTCAAATTCAAAGAGATATTCTTTATAAAAGTTAAGAGTCAACGTAACCTGGGGTTAACAGTCTTGCTCAAAATACACAATGGTTATGGCTCTTGGAGTTTCAGTATGGACCTTTTAGTTACAAGCACGGATATATAAACACAGCTGCACTTAAAGGCGACATATGAGCACTTGACTTTGAAAATATACTTCAAAAACATTGTCCTTAAATGACCAGTCCACCCATGTCATTCCAAACCTGTATGACTTTCTTTTGAGTAAGACAAAAGAGGATATAAAAGAGACTGAAGTACATCAGAAACCATGTAATACTGGACACCATTGACACTGAGATATTTCTCAGAATCTCTTCTTTAATGTTCTACAGAACAAAGAAAGCCACTGAGATTTGGAGTAACATGAGGATGAGTAAATTTATGGGTAAACTATCACCCACACTGACACATTTCATTTCACATACAATGAGGGGTTTACATAGATGTCAAAGGCAAAGTCACAAAAACTAGGTGTTTAAAGAAATACTGTTGTGGAAAACAAAAAGCTAGTTTGCAATGTTTTCGAAACAAGTCTTTTATGCTCACCAAGGATACATTTATTTGATGAAAAATACATTAAAACTAATGCTGTAAAATATTATTAAAATTTTAAATAACTTTTCCATACATATTTGGATATATTTTTCTTCAGTGTCACGTGATCCTTGAGAAATCATTCTAATATGCTGATTTGCTACTCAAGAAACATTTCTTATTATTAGCAATAGAACAATGTCTTCACTGTCTCTTCTGATAAATTTATTGTTGAATAAAATAATTAACTTGTAAATATAAATAAATGAAAATCTAACTGACCCCTAACTTTTCAACAGTAGTATATTCATACCTACTACATGTCCTACTCATAACAAAACAACTAAACTGATACAGTTTATGGGTTTCAGCTGTAAGCGGCAGATCCATTTATGACAGACCTTGCACCATACACACATCCGCACCTTAAGCTTGCATAACGGTAGCCATTAGCTCAACCAGAGCATAGGAGAACTTCAAAGCGCACAGAGAAATAATGAATTGGCATCATGGTCTGTGGTCTATGAACAGTGGGCTGTGGGTCTGGTAGCCATTACACCCCAGACTGTGAGATCCACGTGAAGACTTTGTGAGCGCCGGACGCTGGGCTTTTAAAGGCTCTGCACCGTACGTCCGGCTCCAAACACACTGATGCCTGACACGTTGAGCTCTAGTTTCCCCCCGCAGCAGTGCTCATAACACACACCACAACAGCAGGACTCCATTTACAGCCACCCTGTGCTCCTACTACGTGCAATAATAGGTTCCATTGCCCTGGATATTATACATTTGCATATATAAAGAAAAAAGTACTTACGAAGAGATGGCGGCGCTCCCTTGCCATTTGCCTTCAGACAGTATTTCACAGTAAAGCTAAGGGAAAGAATTGAGTAGGATTACCATTATTTTCATGATAATCTCAATGCATAATAGTCAAGACAAGCATCTTAAAGATATTACTGATGATATGTATGCTCATTTCTGATTAAAGGGGTCATGACATGAGAAATCAAATTTGCCTTTCTTCAGAGACAAAAGAGGTCTCTGTACCATTAAAACATCCTGCAAGTTTCATATCTTAAAACATTTCATATCTTAAAATCTTGAGGATTTTGTTTTGTAATCGGGGCACAGTGTCATGGAGAGCTCACAAAGAAACATTTGTTGAAAGATGAAGCAGTACTAGATCTGACCGCAGATGCATCAAACTGTAAGTAAATGATTTCATAATGCTTTGTCTGGAAATGACCGTTTTATTTTGATCATGTTGTCAAAACACTCACATGCAATAGTGAGGGGGCGTTAATACTGTTTCCTATGCAATGGCATTAGCCAATCATAACAGTGGCTGATTACGGTAAAGCCTTAAAGGACACGCCCCTTAAATCATGTCATTTTAGGCCATGTCCACACTAGGGATGTGCGGGTCTAGTCGACTAAACGGTACAGCTCCTACTAGTCGACACTGAAAACAATAGTCGATTACACGACAGAAAAAAAACCATGATTTTATCATTCAAATTACCGTCAATTTAACATTGCATTTAAAACATTTTAAATAACAAGTTAAAATAAAACGTTTGAAAAATAATTATTTTTAAAAGTTTATCTGGGCGGAAACAACATTTTTACCTCAGACCTCACATGCGTTTTCTTCGT